GGGGGAGGAGAGAGGGGGAGGGGGAGGAGGGAGGGGAAGCTCTGTCCTAACAACTTCCCAGACACTCAGTGAAGACCTGGAAGAGAATGGCTCAAAGGTCCCAGCTGAAGGACATAATAAATGCTTAAGGAAGTGGAAATGCTCATCACAGTTTGATCATTATTACATAGTACACACATACAGCAAATGATCACACTGTATCCCACCCATATGCACCAGATATGAATGAACATGGAGCAATGGAAGAGTGACACTGTCCAAGAAGAAACGCACTCGTCACTTGGCTTATGCAACTGTGACCCTCTGTATATGGCCTCTATAGTATCGATTTAAAAACTAAAAAATTATATATAATAAAAATGACTTTAAATTAAAAAAAAATGTTGGGAGCTGAATGCCAGTGGCTGAAGCCTGTAATCCTAGCAGCTCAAAGTCAGCTGGGGCAAGAAAGTCTGTGAGGCTATCTCCAATCAACCACCAAAATGCCAGAAATGGAGCTGTGGTTCAAGCGGTAGAGCACTAGCCTTAAGCACAAAAGCTCAAGGATAACACCCAGGCCCTGAATTCAAACCCCAGCACTGACACCAAAAAGAAAAAGAAAAAAAAAATGTTGTTGGCTAAGCATGGTATGCAAGGTGATAGTCGCAGCATTCAGAAAACTGGAACAGCTGGGAAGGGCCCCGAGTTGGAGGTCGGCTGTCTGGGTGGTCAGCTGTTAGTGCATTATTTCATTCTCCACCCACTGGCCACACTGGCGCTCCATCTTCGCAGTGAGATCTGAGCTCGTCCACAGGGATGCGGACAGTTCATAGCTTTGCCTCTTCCAGGAAGCATTAGCACTCTGGGCTCTGGGCTCCATTGTCCTGGGCCAGCCCTCCCCCGAGTCCCTCCTGCTGCTGCTACAGGCTCTCCACCACAGGCTCCCAATGCACCTGCTCAGGCCCGGGAACATACTGGGACAGAATCAGGGCCCTTCTGGCCTCTCAAACCCATGTCCACCCAGGCTACCCTCGCTTAGCCAGGGCCTGAGCCCTCTGCTCACCTGCACGTATGCGTGCGCGTGCACGTGCACACACACACACACACACACACACGCACGTGCACACACCCAGAGTGCAGTGCTGGTGTCCCGGGCAAAGTGACCCCAGTCTTCAGTCACCCACTGAGAGCCAGCCTGAATCTCGGGGGCCCGGTGGATCCTAGCCTCCCAGCCAGCTCTCCACAATGGTGATGGGTGGGAATGGAGCCAGGGCTAGGTCCAGGTGGCTTGCTTTTATCTTGATTTGAATCTTGGAAGTTCCAAAGCAGTTGGGAGCCCACAGTGCTGCTGGACAAGCTCCTGTCACTTGTCCCTACTGAGCTGACCCTTGCCCCTCCTCACCCCAGCCCCAGCCGCCAGCAGGGCTGTGCAGAGCCACTAGGCATTGTGGAAATCTCCCCCAGGACCTTCCCCTGCTTACTGAAGCCCAGGCCAGCCCTGCAGGCTCCCACTGACCAGGACGGCACCCTGCTGCCCTGGGCCCCTCACAGACCTCTGATGGGCTCTGTTGCACGGAGGCCATCCGTGAGCCCTCCTTGGGATCACAGCGGGAGGATGAATTATTCACGTTCTGCTGGCTCCAGAAGCCTGAGGGCCCGGCTTTCAGCTCTTAAAGGGTCGCACGGGTCAGTGAGAAGATGGGATCTGATTGACGCATTTTCTATGGACTAAAGGTTTTTTAAGAAAAGTTGCAAAGGGGAAAGAGAAGCCATACTCCAGCACGGGGCCGAGGCCTGGGCTCAGGCACTGCGGAGGGCCGCCCTCTGCTGGTCATCAGAGGCCACGCAGGCCACGAGAGCCATGGCAAAGGGAAGCCCGGGCGCCGGGCCCCGCTGAGCCCTCAGGAGGAGGACAGCACACAGAAAGTCCTTTGGCCGTGGCAGGGAAGCCACGGCCCACCATAAACTGCAGTGGTGCCCGTGAGTAACGAAGAGGCGTCCAACAGCGCCACGCAGCATGCATGGAAACGCCATGTCCCATGCGCATGCCGTCACCACACCACGTGAAACAGCGCATGGGAAAGCGGAGCCTCCCATACCGTGGGCACGCACAGAGCAGCGCAGTGCTGTGGAAATCCGCACGGAGGATCCTCAGGAAAGGAAAACGTAATCCACCGCAGGACTCTGCCCCACCACACCGCTCCAAGGAATGTAAGTCGGCAGACACCACCCACGGCTGGCAGCAGCACTGCTCAACACAGCCAAGCCATGGAACCAGCCCAGCCTGACTGCATGATCAAGCAGGAGTGGGCCGCGTGCCAGCGGCTCACGCCTCTATTCCTATCTACTCAGGAAGCTGGGATCTGGAGGATCTCAGTCTGAGGCCAGCCATGGTAGAAAAGCCCATGAGACTTCATCTCCAAAATAACCAGCAAAAAGCAAGACAAAAGTTGTTCAAGTGACAGCACTCCTGGCTAGCAAGGTTGAGCCCGGAGCAATCCCCAGTACAACTAAATTTTGCAAAGTCTGAATACCATATTTTCTCTTTTAGGCAGAATCTAGACCTAAAAAGAAACAAAGAAAAAGGTTATGAGGATACATACAGAAGACGATTTGCTATGGGCAGTGGCAGGGCGGGGTGGGGGGAAACAAGAGTGGACCGTGGGAGGGGCACACATGACCAAGGTACAAGGCACCCATGTGCAAAAGCGTACCCTAACAAACCCATTGTTTTGTAATTTAAAGCTGTCTGGGAGCTGGGAATGCTACCTGGTGCCAGTATCAGGGCATAACGTGGCACCCTGTAGGGTGCACAAGCAGCTCACAGCCCCATGGTGAGATTCGAGTGCAATCACGCAACGGCCAGTCCTGTCACCTAGCTCCAAATCACACCCACTCCCCGGTGCCCCACCCGGGTACCCCGCAGCCCACTCCCCAGGCCCCCACACCCCGCTCCCCGGGACCCAGGCCCCACCCGGGGAACCCCCTCTTGCGGTCAGGTGCTCCCATTAGGAAGGCCTGCCTGGGTGCCAACAGTCAGTGAATTTTATCTGCAAGCTCAAACAGTCACCCGGAGCCCAGGCACGGCCGGGGCCTTGCGGCCATGGTACTGAGACCACATTCCACGCCAGTCTTCTGTTGCTTGCTGGTCTCAGGACCAGAGTCAGGGGCCAGGTATTCTCCCAAGTCAAGACATAACCCAGAGTTTACATCCCATTTCACTTCACTTGAGATGTAGGCTTCAATTTATTAAAGAAATTCATAAAAAACTCATGGGGGATAAACTATTTTCAAAGTATGAACGAAGGAATCAAGTGAATGTGCCTGTGGTTGCCTGTGATTTAAAGTAATTCACATTGGAAGAGGAGAATAAAGTAGGAGAAATCTGACCATCTGAATTAATTTTCTTTAGGACCAACTTACCTATTTTAAATAGAAGTTCTGAAGCCGGGCGCTGGTGGCTCACATCTGTCATCCTAGCTACTCAGGAGGTTGAGATCTGAGGATCATGGTTCAAACATGAGATTCACCTCCAATTAACCACCAGAAAACTGGAAGTGGTGCTGTGGCTCAAGTGGTAGAGTGCTCGTCTTGAGCTGAAGAGCTGAGGGACAGCGCCCAGGCCCAGAGTTCAAGCCCTACAACCAAAAAAAAAAAAAAAATCTGGTTTTTGCTTTGTGGGAGGGAGAGATTGAGAGATTGAAGTCTGAGGCCAGGCCTGGGGAAGATCTAGAGACCTGTCTCAATCAGCAATCAGTGAGGTTGGAGGCACCGGGAGTGTGCCCCTGTGAGCTCGTGGTGCTGAGAGCTGGCAAACCACGCGGACACACCTCTGCCTATGTCCGCTGCGGCAGTGCTGGTTATGGACAGCGCTGACCCCCGGGACGCTGGCCGGAGAGCCTGGCAATAGCACTGACAAAGAATCCACGCCGATGTGAACAACAATGTCTCCAATGCCCAGCTCACAGGAGGCAGTAGAACAGGCGGCAGTGAGGTCTTGGCTCAACAATTTATTCATGGACATGTGATAACGTCCCTCCCCAAAAATCTTCCCAAGAATGACAAGGTACAAAGTATTGTTTTGCTTCTCTGAAATCTTTAATACAAACACAAAATATTTGAAGAAACGACCGAAAGAGCTGGCGCGTGAGTGTGTAAACACATTTGTCGATAGAGTTTCAGAAGGCATGGAAGGCACTGACAGCTGACTTCCATCTCCAGACACGAGGTGCTAACTGCCCGTCAGAAAGCACTGCCAGGGCGCCGTCAGGTGCCTGGGCGCCACCGGAGAAGACACGGCAGGAGGCAGCTGGGAACTGAGGACCAAGGGGAGCTGGAAGGGAAAGGTGAGGGGAAGGGGCTCTTGCCAGCGCACGGGCATCCGTCCACACTGCCTCACGATGCCCACGTGCAGAGAGCCGCCGCCGCCGCCGCCGCACACACTGTTCGCTAGCTTATCCTAAGGACTCCGGTGCCTCTGGCAACAAGCCGGCACCCAGCCGCAGCCCAGCCCTCCCGCGCCGCCCCGGAGCACGCCGCACGGCCATGGGTAGCCAGGCTGCCAAAGTCATAATTACGTGAAACCAGGAACATGTCTCTAAAGCGTTCGATGCTGCTCACACTTAGTGAGCGACAAAGCCAGCAACAGGTTCATTCAGAGCAGACAATGTCAGAGTCCAGTCTCAGGCCCTCACAGCAGCCGGGAGGGGCCGCTCCGAGGACTCTGCTAACGCGAGTGACAGTTCCCAAGGCAAAAATAAATCACAGTCTGAAACTAAAAGCCTCAATAAGCATCACAGACTCATAAACTTTGGGAATTAAGAGTTCAGTAGAATACTAAGTACTTAACATCTAGGTTTCAAGAATTTCAATTCACAAGGATTACTTAATATCTGGGAATCATTTCCTCGAGTTTTGAGAACACTAAATCTTGGTTTCATCACCATCTCAAGTTCAGACTCTATCAACGTAAACAGAAACACCATCTGGTTTCCTGCGAGCAGAGGAGACCGTGATCTTTATGACACAGGAATGTTTATTACCTCAGTACTGGGGCAGGTAGCCGCAATGAGCTGGCTCCAACAGCCCGGAGTTCTCAGGAGCAGTACTGGGCATGCTCAAACTCCCTAAGTCACCGTCAGCAGAAGGCCCGTGAGGCTAGGCAGCAGGTGTTTGTGTGACAACAGGAAGCTGCACAGAGCCCCCCCCCCTCCTCCCCCTGCTAACAAGGACCAGTATCACAACACAGGCCAGGTCCTTAGCAGGGCCACATCTAGCATATAAAAAGGGGTCAATTAGATGTTAATATATTAAACAATCCATAAACATTTAAAATTACAAATATCTTACAAAACAGCCCTGTGATAATAAAAACTATTTCTGCAAATAAGATATAAACATGAATTAAACCTAGTATAAAAAGGCTCTTAATTAGCATATATCAGCTGGGAGGAGGGGAAGAAAGCTAGGCTTAGACCAGCAATCAAATAGCTTCATAACATAAAATTATTCCTAATTAAACTTTACATACATTTTAACACTGAAATAGTTTTTAAAAATTGCAATTTTCAATCATTCCTTATTCCCAGGCCACTGAGATTTCAGCAGCGTCACAGGGTTAAGTCTGTGCCAAGCCTCGGGCCACGGCAGTGCGTCATATCCACTGGGCATCTGCGGGGTGGACTGGCAGCGAGGCCTCCGCCCTGCCACTCACCAACAGAGCTCGTTAGTGAATGCAACATGGAGCCGCAGCGTCCACGTCCACTCCTGAAGCGACGGGACGCTGACTGCTGCAGATGAGGTCTGGGTCTCCAGGGACAAATGGCTCTTTGGGACGTGGTTGCTATGACAATGTTGTTGCTAGGATAATTCCAAGGATCACAATCAAAATAACTACACAAATAATAATGAACATCATTTTCTGCAAGATAAAGAAAAACGTTAATTTGCAATGTATCAAAGAAAAAGAATCAACAAAATCATTTCCTAACAAAATCTTTCTGAAACTTAAGTTTAAAAGACAACCACAAGGTCATAGAAAAGTACAGAAAAGGAAAACCTCCCAAAGCAGTGTACTTTTTACATCCTAGATGTGTGGAACACATAATAACTCTTAATAACTTAAAGCGCGTGGCATTGAAGTTCTGCCTCCTACCGCCCCGCACCGCCCCGCATCGCCCTGCACCGCCCCGCACCGCAGGTGTGGCCTGGCCCAGCACTCGCTGCTTCGCTATCAACATCCCAGCTCCACTAAAGGCATCTAGCTGAAGACATTCTGCCTCCCTGGGATTCTTGTCTAGAGGAGGAGGAAAGGATCCAGGAAGGCAAAAGGCATGCCACGCTGCTGGCTACAGGTTCTCTTCTAAAAAGCAGAGATTCTCTTTCTGGGTGACAGCTACAATCTCGAGCCATGACACGCGTGTGTCAAGAAGTCCTGAGAAGGGGCTCCGTGGCGGGGCTCTGTGGCTCAGCACCTGCCAGGCCTGTGCGAGCTCTGGGACCTATCCCCAGCACACAGACAGGCAAGGGCTCTGCCTGCTGGCCCTAGACCGCCCTCTGTGAGCCGCACACTGAGAGCCCCATGGATGACACCGGCCTCACTCAGGCCCTCGGTGACTTCCAGGTGAGTCCTGGGTCATCCCCACAGCCCTGATTCCCTGCGGTCCAGGTGCCTCCTCCAGACTTCCTGGCCCATCAGGACCTCTGCCATCAGCAGCCGCCCTTCCACTCCACTCCTGGCTACCGTGGTGCTCCCCGCTGAGTGCGGGGCCCTCACTCAGCAGCTTCCAGAACTGTGGGATACGTGGCATAGAGGGAGTCACGCCTGCACCCCATGTTTCACAGACCTGACCACCACCCTCTCCTGTTGTAAAGGTGTCTGTGGAGTCAGCTGGATGAGCTCAAGTCATCAAGTGATGACAGCTCTACCGTCAACCACTGCACAACCCTGGGCCTGCGTCTCCTCACGAAGACGGAAGCCCTCCGCACAGCCGCGTCCTGGGGACGAGGACGAGAGCAGCTGCAGCACAGTGGACAGGCACACGGGAAAGCACGCAGCACTGAAAGAGTGTGTCTGTCAGAGTGTGATCAAAGCAGCGATTCACGCCGGAGTCCAGCTACTCAGGAGGCAGACACTGGGAGGCCAGACAAGGCCTTAAGAGAAAGTACATCTTGATCCATATGTGGGAACGCGTGTCTGTGAGGCACAGGTGGGGGGCTCAAGGCCCAAAGCCACCCCAAACAAAAACATGAGACCCTACCTGAAAAATCAAAGCAGCAGGGGCTGGGAGCAGGGCTCAAGAGGAGTTGGCAAGTACTTTAGTTTTACAAAAACAGGTCGTTCCCATGCGTCTATGGGCACCAAGATGACCCGTCGCAGGCACTCAGCACGGCACCCTGTGCCCCCCGGGTACGGCACGGGGAGGCTTCTCTCAGTCAATGTCAACACCCAGCAGCACCCACAATAAGCAACACACCCCACTGGGCCCCAGCTTTGAATGCAACTCCACCTCTGGTATTACCACTGCCTGCCCATGTGATGGCCACTAGAAAAAACAAAGAAAAGGCTTATTTTAGAGAGGATTAGAAAAGCACTGAGAAACGCCCCGCTTCAGCAGTGAGTAACCTCGTAAGCTGTATTTTCAGTTCAGCAAAGTTAAGAGGAAAACGCTAAGAGACGCCGAAAACATCCTGCCGGGCAGAGGGCGCGAGGTCCTCTCCCCAGGGCTGCAGGGCCCCGTGCAGAAATGCCAGGAATGGGCGCTCGCTGGTGACTGGCAGCTGGTGGCTGCCCCCCAAGCCGGGGGAGCTCACGGGCGTCGGAACGCCGCCCACCTCACTACCACTGAAGCGAAGCACGGCTGGCCTGCCCCCAGGACAGAGTGCGCAGGTGGCAAGCGCTGTTGGTAGGAGGCTCTGCCTAACATCAGAACGCGATCAGCAGGGTTGCCCTAATGCTCTAGGCGCCCCAGCACCTCACACATTCTCTCCACAAGCACTGGGAAGCAGTATCGGGGATTGGTACCCCAACTTACGGCTAATGCAGAAGGTGCTTCCATGCACAAGACAAGCAGAGTCTGGGGGGAAGCGCCACGGACGCAGGCACAAAGACGAAGATGCTGCCTGTCAGCTGACCAGCTCCCAGCGTCGGATGCACGCAGGCTTCCAACCAATGAGGAGAGCGGACGCTGCCCCCAGTGAACCCCGAGGAGAGCAGCGCTCGCTACCACACTCAAGGTGAGCTGCAGAGTACGGCCGTGCCAAACACTGCCTCCTAATGGAGGGTGTGCCCCACTGACCCCCCACTGGCATTTTCTGAGCCCCCACTGTGCACTGGGGTGTCACAAGCCACGCTGCGGGGCATGGTGGCTGGCTGCTGGAGAAACCGAGCCAGACAGGCCGGTGTGGCTCTCAGTAAACGTGACCTGCCACGCTCAGGGGACTGGCTTGGGTGAGTGCCACATCGAGCTCAGGGACAAGCGCAGACGACACACAGAGCTCAGGGGACTGGCTCAGGGAGTGAGCGCTAAGTGTAGAAGAACCGGACAAACACTCCTCCTGGCTGATGGAAAAAGTTAATAAGTAAATTAGTTGATTAGTTACTTACTGCTGCCCTGTCAGCGGCAAGCACCCAGCGCCATCCACACCGTCATTTGCCAACGGATAAGCCAATAATTAGAGCAAGCAGGGCAATGACAGCCACTGACACAGCAGCAATCATCCACTTCTTCTGTCAAAGGAAAGCAAGTGGATTATAGCGGTTGACAGAGCCATGCCACAGACGACATCTGTCATGGAGTGACACCGTCCATCCCTGCGGCCAACACGCTGAGTCCTGCGTTCTCAGGGTCAGACCGGAGGACAGGCGACCGGTCACTGACAGCATGTGTCTCAGCAGTGGGGTGCGGGGGGACATGACGAAGGACTGAGGTGTGTCACCAGCACAGTGACGGGGAAGCAAGTATGAGGGGTGGGAAGGCCCTGCCTCCCACCTCCTGTCTGCTGTCGGCAGCTCTGCCCCCTCTTGCCCCGTGACCTTCTGGAAGAGCTTCCACCCTTGTGAGATGTTCATACTGACTGTCACCCTTGCACTGCTGCACACAAACGCGTGTGCAGGGCACACACACACACACACACACGCCCTGCGCTGACTCCTGTGTTTAGGCCCCTTTCTCTGTGGGCACACGACTCCTGTTTTGGGACATGCCTTTCCATAGGTGCTACAGGAAGACGCCAGGTCCCCACCTCCAGTGACTTCCCTTCCCTCTCCAAAGCAAAGACCCAGCAAATAGACAGAGCATAAACATCTACTGCATAAAATAGGTAGCCTGTTGTTTTCAGGAAACGTCCCCATCCACCAGCCCCCTGGGAACAGAACCCCACACCAAACAAGGAAACAGCACAGACTGGAGGCTGTGAAGGGGTCTGACTACTTAGAACGCAAAATGGTTTTTAGTCAACTGATCTGAAAAACCTTCAACTTATTAGGCAAAAAGAATGACTTTGGTTTTAAGATGAAACATTTAAGCAATTTTTATTTGGAGGGACTATCTTTCCAACAGGCTTATGTTAGCCTATTACAATTTGAAAACAAACTAAGGAAAAACACTTAATTCTTAAAAACCAAACTCACCCTTCTTGCTTTGCTGTGATATTTAATAGCCTTTTTAGTTTCTTCTTTAGCATGTTCTACATAATCTGTGGCATTCATAACATTTTTCTCGATGTTGTTGATCATTTCACCCTTCAAACAAAAAGTTTCCACCTTAGCAGACATTTTCAAATGACTTAATGACATATCTTGACAACAACACAACAGGAAGCTTTTATATAAACATAACGGGCATGGAATGAGTAGCAAATGTCTTTCACCTGCATGGGAAGGTGGAAGCAACCAAAATTCAATTTGTCTTAAAGACCGCTAAAGTGATGGGTGGCAGCACCGACAGACCTGCACATCCACCGGTCCTGAGTCATGCGTTAGTGGGAGCACATTCATCAGTGCTCAGGCACCTTGGGGAGCACCTGACAGATGAACGGTGAAGGTTGGCCACAAGCACTGCACTGAACTCATGTGCAGGACATTCAACACACAAAGGTGACATCCTGTCTACTGTGTACACAATTACTGCTATTTCTTTACGCGGTCAGTAAGCCACCACAGCTTCTGGGTGGCGTCAGGGTGACTGTACTGAAGAGTGCAGAGGGAAGGCCCGCCATGCCTGGCGTGGGGAGGAGCAAACACATTACCTGGCTTCTGCCCACCAGGAGACAGAGTCTGCAGCCCAAGCGGCAAAGCATTGAAAGAGGACAGAGAAGTAACTTATCATTCACAAACTTACTCTCCCAGCCTTCGCTGGACACATATTTGATCAGAGGAGACATTGTAAGGTGACGCTGAGACTTCTAGAAGGGAGCAGAGAGGCCAAGCTGCAAATGAAGCAGGGCTGCCACACTGTCATGAAAGCCTGGGACGGAATAAAGTCTTCAGGGATTGCAAAAGCATCCTGGTCTCCCTTGGACACTTCCTGCCACCACCAGACTGCCTGCTCGCGGTGCTCACCCCGAGTGGCGACTACTCCACCCAAGACCCAAAAGGAGCACCCCCACTTGTCAGTCACATCCAGAAAACTGCTGGCATTTGACTTGTTTTTCTGAATGAAGAAGTTCCTCAAAATATGCCTCACTTCTCACAAGGCTAGAGAAGCCCATGGGAACAAAATCCACCCATGGGCTGATTTCCTGACCTGCCTTACAGGCTAGAGAAGCAGCACAAAAATCATCTCAGAAGCCAACTCTAGCCAGATCATCCTGACCCCAGCACCTTTCCGTCCTGAGATTCTCAGCACCTCCATCTCACCTGAGCAGCACCCACACACAGGACTGCACAGCAAGGCGGGGCTGAGCTAGCCGGCACAGGAGACCACGCACCATCTGTGCATTTGTAATGGTGGAACCTCCCAGACCTCCCTGACAGTACCATGGAGGAGCAGCACCTGTCACCAGTGTCAGAGCCATGGAGGCCTGGAGGCTTGCCCCTGAGATATCCCCAGTCTTTACTGGAATATTCTCCCTTGTAGCGAACTTGAAAGCAGACAGAGGAAAAGTAATGTCCTGTAGCCCCACCATGAATACAATGTTGCGTGTATTTCCCTCTCTGGGAAAGGAGCTGAGTCCACTCCATGGGTGTTTTTTGTGTGCATATACACTTGTGTGCACTTGTTTATAGGTACAGATATCTATGTAAAACTTGTATTGCCTTTTAACCTAAAATTGTACCATAAACATATGTAGTTCACTGAAATTTTTCTATGAACAAAAAATACATGCTGCCCATGGCTGCCTGTGAGCCTGGCTGACCTCCACACATGGCTCATTTAACGGGGCCAGCCCCTGACTGATGAGAGGCTCAGCACTTTGCAGCAGTTCAGTGTTACATTCAATACTGCAATCAACAATTTAATTTTAACTTTTTCTAGACAGTGAGCCCATGTGTATGATTTTCCCCATGGCTGGCATCTACATGGAGATGTAATTACCTGGGTCTCAACAAACATGGCCATATCCATAAACATCTCATGCAGCTCTCGGATGCTGGTCTCCAGCTTCATGATGTCTTTGTGACGTGACTCAATCTCGTTGAGAGCTTGTCTAGTAATCTGTGAATCTGATATAATCTGTGAAATACAAAAGCACAAGACGTTACTGAGCTGCTGCTGGTTTGGAAGTGAAAGATAGGGTCCTCTGCGAAAGCGCACGTGCAGCGCTGGCACTCACATCTGAGGTGAAGATGGAGGGCTTCCCGCTTTCCAGCATCTCCTCCAGCTCCTCATCCGTGGTGGTTCTTCCAGCTGAGGAAAAAAAGCAAACTGTACTGAGGACGGGGCGCCGTCTACAACTGGAGCTCTGTGACGCTAAGTTATCAACTACAAGGCAAGGGAGTGGTGAATGTTTTAAACAACGTTTTCTTCCTGCTAAATATACTTTTGCTAGGGAAGAAGCTGAGTGGCGAGAGGGTTGACGGTGCCAGGGACACCTTGTGACTAGAACAAGTCATCAAACCTGACACGGTATTAACACGAACACCTACAAAAATAACCCCGCTTTCTGGACAAAAGGTTAAACCGGTAAGCTGGCATGGCACCTATCAATGAGCAGAATGCGAGACCGTCTCCTGACCAGGGCAGCAGCAGAGGCCACAGGGTACAGAAGGAATGTCTGAAAGTTTGGTAACTTCAAGTCACCTCACTGAGAATTTTTCTAGGAGATAGATAAATACTGACAGTTTTGGTTCACTCAAGGTTGATGCTACTTTGACTCTTTACAACACTGGTAAGACAGAGAGGTTTTTGCTAACGCTATGTCTGGTGTGATGCTACAGCACAGAGGAGGCCGGGGAAGAACCCGGAGACTTCATACTCACTTATTTCTAGCTGGCGCTGAATGCGCCCTTTGCTTCGCTCCCGAAAGAGCGTCTGTGCTTCATTGTATCCCGTCATGACTTCCACGAACTTTCGAGACAGCACTGAATGCTAACAACACGGGAGAGGGCGACGTTAGCACACATTCCAACGCTGCTTCCACCGCGGTTTCAGGCCTCAATCTCAGACTAATAAACTTCTATCTCTCCAGTGGCCAGCAAGAATGGCTGTGCAGAGGAAATAAGTCCTGGGTGCAGGCCCCCGGCACCGCTGTCTCCTCGGCCACAGTGACCTCCTCGGCCATGTGTACCCATGACTGACAGTGGGCCAGACTCCGGGAACAGCTCTAGTAGCAAGGATGAGACAGGGACCTGGGATGGGGATCCAGCAGGCTTCCCGGGCTGCACAATGAGTCACCACGGCCACACAGAGCTAAGTGTTCTACATTTGCCTTTACCATAGCACAAAGCACAAGGAGGTCTGGGCCACACCAGCAATAAGGGGGCAATCTGGGGTCCCTGTCCCAGGGTCCCCATCCCATCCTTGTTAATACAGCTGTTACTCTGCTCCTCAGAATAGAACTCTATGGAGGGCATGAATAGATGTTTTCTTCATGGAAAGAGAGGCAATCTACAAATACAATGTCCTCTCATGAAGGAACATCGTGTAGACAGACATGACAGTAAAAATGCAATTATTCTAAACTTGGAATAAGTAAAAAGACTTATTCTTCCCCAATACTCCAGTCTGAAAGAAACTGCCAATCAAACCTGGGTCCTTCGTATCCGAAGATCCACTGAAGTGCGGTTCCCATTCTCATCCTGAGCAAAACTTTGTTCAATAGCTAGAAAAAACAGGACAGAGTTACCTTTCAAATCTAAAAACCAAAGTTTACAGAGCCACACCTCAAGTCAATAAGTAATCCTCCTGAAAGCCCATCCATCAAAAGGGTTCTTCTGCTGATCTTAACGAATCACACATACATTTATTTACTCTTAGGGAAAATGGAAAAATAATCCACTAACTTTGCAGATGGAAGGCTACTGTGAGGGGATGACGATACCGTAAGATGGGTATAGACACAGGAAGAAGCCAAAGTTTTTGAGTATGTTCTGTTTTAGAATAACAGAAATGTCTCACAGAACTACAATACAAAATTAGACACTGAAAAGAGCAATCTCTAAAATTAAAAAAAAGGAAGAAACTTCCTACAGATTAAGTGAGTTAATGGTATAATTATACAAATAAGAACTAGTCAACCCGTTTAAATAAAACAGCTGTAGAGTCTGACTCTCAGTGGTCTTCTTGCGGGGGTGGGGGGTCCTGCGACCTTGTCATAACAATAGATGCTCTAGAGGACTCAGTAGTATAATCTTTTAGAAAGACTAGGCCAAAGCCTAACAAAATCAACACCAGAAAATGGGTACATCCAAGGGAGGCAGACAACGGGAGAGGGGAAGATAAATGAAGCTGGGAAAGCGGGGAGAATGCAATCAAGAGTTCATTACAACTTTGGTGAGGGGGGGGGCAGGGATATGGGAAGGGATAGGAAGGGGAAACAAAGGAGGAGGCAACAATACTTGATAAGAAATGTACTCATTAGGGCTGGGAAGGTGGCTCAGTGGTAGAGCGCTTGCCTTGCATGCCAGAGGTCCTGGGTTTGATTCCTCAGCACCACATAAGCAAAAAGAAAAAAGCCGGAAGTGGCGCTGTGGCTCAAGTGGTAGAGCGCTAGCCTTGAGTTGAAGAGCTGAAGGACAGCGCCCAGGCCCAGAGTTCAGGTCCCATGACCGGACCCAAAAAAAAGAAAAAAGAAATGTACTCATTATCTTGCCCATGTAATTATAACCACTCTGTACAGTATTTTCACAATAAAAAAATAAAAATAAATAAAATTACATGAAACAATGAAAAAAAAAGACATTATGATTCATTTTACCCTAAAGAAAAAAAAGTACCAAAGGCCTTGCTCTGCCACCACGCCATTGCCATGTATAGCAACATGTGGATGTCTTGGGTCTGGACCATCTACTGAAAGCGTCCTTAGAGAAGCAGCTAGTCCCTATCAGGTGTTCAAGATAGCAAACAAGAAGCAGCAACACTGGCACTGGTCACCTCTGGAGTGCTCGGGAACCAACCACGAAACTGTACAAGAAACAGAACCCTGTCTCTCCAGGTCAAGACACCTGGCCAACAAGGTGAAGAGGGAGGGTCTGGATCTTGCCAACAGTCATCAGTTGTTGATGGTGTCACAAAAAAGCACGTGGCTACATATTATGCAACCTTATGACATCATAACACCTGAGACCAGCTTCTTATCTTAATCCACAAAACCAGGTGAAGCTGGGTGCTGATGGCTCATGACTTCAGTCCTAGCTAAGAGGCTGAGATCTGATGATCGAAGTTAGAAACCAGCCTAGGCAGACAAATCTGAAAGACTGTCCTGTCCAATTAACCAGCAAGAAGCTGAAGAGGAGGCACAGCCATGATGGAAGAAAACTGAGTAAGAGGACACTGAGCTCAAATCCAATGAGCAGGAAAAAAATCTGGATCTTTCAAGCAAAATATTAAGCACAGAGGATAGCAGGCCTGCTTAAAACTCACAGGGTCTGATCAGCAATGCTGATTCTACAGGATGAAAGAACTGGGTCCTCAACCCAAGGAAAAAAGGGCTAGAGGCAGAGATGTTGAGGATCTGACCCAAAAAGTCTAGAGACACAGCCACCAACTGCAGGGTTTGGGGTTTAACTGGGGCCCAAATCAAGACCCCCCAGAATTGTAAGCTCACTGGGAAAACATAAACCCCAGATTTTTATTTTTTTTTTGTCGGTCGTGGGGCTTGAACTCTGGGCCTGGGCGCTGTCCCTCAGCTCTTCAGCTCAAGGCGAGCGCTCTACCACTTGAACTACAGCGCCACTTCCTAACCCCAGATATTTTGCAGTACTAGAAAGAAATCATTGTAATTAACCTGATGAGATGTGCATGGAGTTGGGTTTGGGGAGGATGGTCCTTTGAGGAGCACACTGATGGGCCTGCCATGTTCTGGGGTCCCAGCTGGGTCAGGTGGAATGTGAGCGCCCAGGCCCAGAGCAGCGCGCTCTGCGCTCCACATGGTGCCTGGCAGCGGCATGAAACCCTCCGGGCTGGGACTGCAGGACAGCGGGCGCAGCAACTCTACCTGCTCAACCACTGAAGCACTGTCCCCAGGGTCAAAGGGCAGCAGATACCCCACTTGCTGGATGTGAATCAGCACTCCCAAGTACACATGGAGAATTTGTAGGAAGTAAATGTGAAAAGGCTAGAGAACAGCAACTATAAGGAGGAAAATAATAATTCCCAAATCCCTACCATCAATAAACAAGCCTTACCCTTTAACTTGGCCCGTATTTTGTTAGCAGTTTTCTTGATTTCTTTGTTCAGGTCCTCAAGCTCTTCTTTTATTTCTTTAAAAGATAAAAATAAGGCATCTGAGCCCTAACTGTCAATATAAGTAGTCTACTAAATTTAAAGAAAACAGCACAAATGCCCTAGTCTTTTTCTATAGAAAATCCGCTTCTCCCAGCGGGTCTCCAGGTGTGGCCCAGGGCGGCCGACGGTGTAGCAGGTGGAGCTCGGGAGCCGCAGCAGCTCTCTGCAGCCGAGGCCTGCCCTCCTAAATACTTGTCCTCTGGTGATTCTGGACCCACACAAGTTTAGGAACTGCTGGTTCACTATAACTAGTTGATGAACTAGTTGACTAGATCCAAAACCAACACTGCATCCTAGTCCCTACCATTATCTCTATCTCTAGCGCCAGCCTAGAGGAACAAAGTACAGTTCCCATCACTCACTGGAGAGGGCCCCCTCCCCAATGCACCGCTGTAGACCCCGCACAGACACGAGTAAAATTAATAGTACTAAAACAAGGGGTTTTTTTTAATTTTTTGCTGTTTTTTTCTTGGCTTTTTGTTTTGTCTGTTCATTATATGTCTTTGGGAGCATAAGGGAAGGCACAGAAAGGGAGGGACGAAGGGTGGACAAAAGCAACAATGGTACTCACTAGACACTACATTGAAAATGAACTTTACAGTTTATGGGGAGGGGAAACTGGGAGAAAGCAAGAGAAGGGTTGACACTGTCCAAAAAGAAATGTGCTCTTTACCTGACATGTAACTGTCACCCCTCTGTACATCACCTTCATAATAACAAAAAATTCTCAACAATCAATGTCATTGGTACCAGTATATTATATGTACACATATCTTAATCATATCCAGTTATATTATGTATTCACATACATACGTGGAGTAAAAGACTCAATATGAAGATAACAGTTGTCCCCCAACTGAGGTGTTTGTAACCCTGGCTGGAGCAGACCCCATCTAACCTGCACTGGTCTCCACGTCCATCCTTCCAGACTGAGCAAACTACTTCACACTCCCAACTCTACACGTGCTTCCTTCAAATGCATTTGCTTGCGTGCTATCCACAGCAGGTATTGCCCACGGCACACCGACACACTCCCTGGCAAGGTAGGACCACCTCACAGTCTGTCTCCAGCTCTAACAAGTGCATATCTCGTACTAGTCACTATCCAAACCTGACATTTGCTTAGACACTGTAGACACGATATGGCTCTGGCTAACCAGTTATCTCCCAAAGTTCTGCAAAGTCAGCCCTACGTGCCCCCAGAATCATGTGCCTCGTGGTCCTCACCCTGCCTGAACACTGAGATGGTACATGGAGCCACAAAACACTCCATGGGAGGCTGGGAAGGTCGAGGGGCAAACTGGACAGCCCATCTAGGATAAAACTAGAGTTATGACCTGTGCTGCAGGCAGAGAGAAACATGGACAGACAGATGGACAGATGGATAGAGAGACAACATACTTCCTTCCGGGTTTGGGGCAGAAAGAATGATGCTGTGGTTCTTCTTTACCTCTTCCACATATTGAGCTATTTTGGAGATGTTGTGTCTAATTTCTTCCACCTAGGAGAGGTAAGAGAGTCAGAAGTTCAAATGTGTTATTGCTTTATATTACCTTAAAAAAAGAAAAAAGGAAGAATAGAGGGAAACAGAATCACCACATAAAGAAATGAGCCTTTCCCATTCTCACACTGACATCATCTTAAAAGAGAAATGTAGCCAGGTGCCAGTGGCTCACACCTGTCATCCTAGCTACTCAGGAGGCTGAGATCTGAGGATCACGGTTCAAAGCCAGCTGAGGCAGCAAAGTCTGTGAGACTCATCTCCAATTAACGACCAGAAAACCAGAAGTGACGCTGTGCTCAAGGACAGTGCCAGGCCCAGAGTTCAAGCCCCACAATCAACCAAAACAAAAAAGAGAGAAATGTACCCTATCAGTATTCCTATTTTTAGGCAACAGTCAACATTCACAAGCAAGGCTGTAAAAACCCCTACAGCCAACTCGTGAACATCAGGCTGGCCGTGGCAGCAAGAAGCCAGCTGAGGTGAGTGCGTGTCTGAGGGAGGAGGCGCTGAGGTCACAGCGTGTCTGAGGGAGGAGGCGCTGAGGTGAGCGCGTGTCTGAGGGAGGAGGCGCTGAGGTGAGCGCGTGTCTGGGGGAGGAGGCGCTGAGGTGAGTGCGTGTCTGAGGGAGGAGGCGCTGAGGTGACAGCGTGTCTGAGGGAGGAGGCGCTGAGGTGAGCACGTGTCTGGGGGAGGGGGCGCTGAGGTGAGTGCGTGTCTGAGGGAGGAGGCGCTGAGGTGAGCGCGTGTCTGGGGGAGGAGGCGCTGAGGTGAGCGCGTGTCTGGGGGAGGAGGCGCTGAGGTGAGCGCGTGTCTGAGGGAGGAGGCGCTGAGGTGAGCGCGTGTCTGAGGGAGGAGGTGCTGAGGTCACAGCGTGTCTGAGGGAGGAGGCGCTAGGTGAGTGCGTGTCTGAGGGAGGAGGCGCTGCGGTCACAGCGTGTCTGAGGGAGGAGGCGCTGAGGTGACAGCGTGTCTGAGGGAGGAGGCGCTGAGGTGAGCGCGTGTCTGGGGGAGGAGGTGCTGAGGTCAGCGCGTGTCTGAGGGAGGAGGTGCTGAGGTGAGTGCGTGTCTGGGGGAGGAGGCGCTGAGGTCAGCACGTGTCTGAGGGAGGAGGTGCTGAGGTGAGTGCGTGTCTGAGGGAGGAGGTGCTGAGGTGAGTGCGTGTCTGGGGGAGGAGGCGCTGAGGTGAGTGCGTGTCTGGGGGAGGAGGCGCTGAGGTGAGTGCGTGTCTGGGGGAGGAGGCGCTGAGCTGAGCGCGTGCCTGTGTAAGGCTGCAGCAGTGTTCTCACAGGGCGCTCACCGCCCACAGGGCTGGGCTGTCAGAACCACTGCTGTAAACCTCTAGTCAACATTTGAAAACACAATAGATCTGCACCGTTTCTCCAGGTAAATTCTAGACACTCTCAACAATCTCAGTGGGAGGCTGGGTGCTCATTAGTGTTGCTTTCTGTGAGGACATTGCACATGACTCCACTAAGAATTTAAGATGAGCAGATCACCCTGATGCTCTGCTGGCCTGTGGAGGAGATCCCGCTACAGAAGGAAAAGTGGCCACTGAGGACTGCTCCTCCTCCATTCATTTAAAGTAGCCATTACAACCTGCTGTGGTCGAGGTCCACATCCCAGCCCCAGCACCTGGGAATGTTACCTATGGTGGCAAAAGAGAGCAGATGTGATTCTGACTGGGGATGAAAAATTATCCTGGATTATCCGGGTGGCCTAAGGTAACCACAGGAGTCCTTATAAACCAGGTATGAGAGGACTGATGTGAGAAAGAAGAAACCAGAGGCTGGAGTCCGGAGCACAGGCAGCCACCAGAGCTGGGGTGGGGGGGCACCCTCCTCTGCAGCTGCTCAAGGGGTGCTGCCCTGCCCTGCCCTGCCCTGCCTTGATTCTGGCCTGCACTCACATCTACCCTTGCTTTCCAGTAATGGACGGGCACTGTTTTAAGCCCCCATGGTTGCAAAAACTTGTCATGGCAACCAACAGAAACTATTACATGTTAACAAACATCTTTATGGAAAAGAGTATTTTTCCCAAAAATCAGAGGCACTAGGAGCCATGATTTACATTTCTTATAATCCTAGGTTCTTGCCTAACGGAAGGCAGAGTGACTCTCACATGCCCTTTGGTGACTGGTGTGTTGCCTCTGGAAATCTCTATTGCTGGTCTTCACGGTGACAAAAGGAAAAAGGCGTGTAACATCTTGGGAGGACAAGCTGAGGAGAGTAGGGAAGAGGAGGATAAAGAGGGTAGTTCTGACCACATGAGCCTCATGGAAAGGCCTCAGAGACACCCCAAACCATGTCCAGGAGTACAAAAAGCATTAAAGTACAGTCCAACACTGAGTTCTGCTTTTATAGAACAGGGATGGCTACTCCATCTGGTCTGTGTGTCATTTCCATTTACACACAGTATATTCGCTATTCTGTACACAAACTCCATTAATCATGTAAGAATAGTACAATGCAAACTGATTGTTTTACAACTTTTGCTATGTCATTAGGAAATAAGTCACAGGACTTGAGGTCAGTACACAGTTGACATTGTAGCTGTTTGCATTCCTACAGGAAATTCCATGGCACCCCAGCCAGATAGGAGGGGGTATGGTCTGGGATGCCTTCCACCAGAATCTATCTCTGAGCAGAAGCCCATGGCGGCTCCCAAAGAGAAGGGAGAGCCTCTCTCTCCTCGGCTTTCCTCTCCTCCCCACTCCTCCAGCCCTCCGTGGAGCTGCACAGGGTCATTTTCTGGCTGTTACCTCATCTCATAGGGAGTTCCTAGGCCCTGAAGAGCACTATTTTTGTCTTTAGCCAAACATGGGTCACTAGCAAAACCCAACCTTGTGCAGTATGACATCCATGATACTGAGACGACCTGAAATTCCCTTCTAAAAGTGAGTATCATTTGTTTCTATTTGCCTAAGAAGTCATTTCACAGAAATAAGTGGCAAACTAACCAACAAATGAAAACTGAAAATATTTTCAGATCCACGCTCTGGTAAGATGGTTATACGCAGAGCATTGAGTGGTTTGGGAGTTAAATGAAAGCATTCACTAAAGTCAGCATAACCAACACAAGTTCTACATACAAGGTGGTTTTTTGTGTTATTTTTGTTTTTTGTTTGCTAAGGGTGGAACCCAGGGCCTCGTGTATACGAGGCAGTGTTCTGTCACTGAGCATCATTCCCAGCTTTATCTGGAGACAGGGTCTCGCTTCACTAAGTTATCCGGGCTGGCCTGTGAGATACTTCTGCCTCAGCCTCCTGAGCACCTGGAATTACAGGCATGTGCCACCATGCCCAGCAACACATCAAGTTTCATCATGAAAAAGAAACCCAACACATTACCTTTCTTCATGCTTAACCAAGTCAAAGCATTTGTTCTGAATCAATTTCAAAAAATTTGAGCATGGGGCTGGGAAGGTGGCTCAGTGGTAGAGCGCTTGCCTTGCATGCATGAGGCCCTGGGTTTGATTCCTCAGCACCACATAAGCAAAAAGAAAAAAGCTGGAAGTAAGTTGTAGAACGCTAGCCTTGAGCTGAAGAGCTGAGGGACAGCGCCCAGGCCCAGAGTTCAGGCCCCACGACCGGACCCAAAAAAAAAATTTTTTTTGAGCACAACCCTAGATGGATATTCAATATGTCAACACAGTGTCAGCCTCTGGGCATACAGCAAAGGAGGCTGGGGAAAGGATGGTGGAGCGCAGCCTAGACCTGCAGGGTCACAGCGTGGCTGCCAGAGCCCGCTGGCTGGGACTCGGGCAGAGCCTCCTCAGCACACACACGTGAACGGGCTCCATCACATCACGGTGACACATCCCAGAAGTCGGCAAACACACAGGCATTCAATGAAAGGTTTTAAAAGCTGTGCACACCTTGTGGCCCAAGAGAGCACTTTGCGGGAACAGTGTGGGGCTGCAGAGGACATATACAACAGCCTCTGTCTCAATCACATTTCAATACTGAAAGCCCCAGAAAACTTACATCTTCCAAGCAACGTTTTAAACCAGTCATCCAGCACTCGGGAGGTAAAGGCAGGAGGATCAAAGGTTTGAGGGCAGCCTGGGCTACATAGCAAACAAGACCCTTTCTCAAAACAAACAAAAACTACAGTCACACACAGCAGGACAAGTTCAGATGTGAGGCCATTGGCTTCAGGGGCTCCCCAAAGTGTGCTCAGAGCACCCTAGCAACTCACAGGACCGCAGGAGCCTCAGCACTGAAGGCCCGGGGCTGTGTCCATTGCTGCACCTTCTCATGGGCAGAAACACGGTTTCATGACTACAGCAAAGCTCAAGAAAGAAAGTGTAAGTGTTCATCTCACCTGATGGAAGAAATCGTCCATAAAATGGTCCTTTTCCACAACAAGAACTGTGTCTCCATCATCATTTTTCCTACACTAGAATAGAAATATAAAGTGAAAATTCAGATTTTAAAAATTCTTATGTAGGAAAGTAAGAAGCCTGAAGCAATTTAGGACCCCCAAGATCTTCACTTGCTAGAACTACAATGTAAGGCTCGGGTGGGGGAGGGGCGCTGCAGGAAAAGCCTTGAGGGGAAGGTGGAGTCCTGGGAAAAGGAAGGAGGGTGTTTTCAGAACTGAACATTCAGAATCATGAACTTTCACCATGAAAGTCACTAAAGTTCAAACTTTTGTCTTCCAGCTCTGAAACTGCCTGCATTGCATATTTATACTTCCTATAAAGACTAAAATGCTGACACGGCTACCTGACTTTCCTAGAGTACATGAGAACTTTCCCAGAACTTCCAACTTTTCCTAAGTGGGCAGGCACCCCCCCTCCCCCCATCATGTTTATGTTTAGTGAAAACTTTAATATGGAAGGAAACTTTGTTTTTTTGGGTCCGGCCATGGGGCCTGAACTCTGGGCCTGGGCGCTGTCCCTCAGCTCTTCAGCTCAAGGCTAGCACTCTACCACTTGAGCCACAGCGCCACTTCCGGCTTTTTTCTTTTTGCTTATGTGGTGCTGAGGAATCGAACCCAGGGCCTCTGGCATGCAAGGCATGCGCTCTACCACTGAGCCACCTTCCCAGCCCCTATGGAAAGAAACTTTAAGACTGAATTACAGAAGAACTTAAAAAGCCTGGGGAAAAACAAACCATCACTACCAAAGGCACTACCAAAGAGAACAGAGCCAAGAGTTGCCTAAGCCTGGCTGCACCCACACCCCATCAGAGCCTGGGGCGGGCTGCACGAGGCCCCATGCAGGTCCCTCCACCAGCTGACTCCACACACCTGGGAGCCAAGAGCATGCACCTGCTTGGCTGCACAGGTGGCACCGGAGGCTGGGGCAGCAGCTGGAGGACCCACCTAGAAAACACCTTCTAGGCAATCAAGAGCTCCCAACACTGAAAAGAACATCTACCTGAGCCAGAGGCTCTGCCTGGAGCTGCCGGAGAGAGGAGACAATGAAATACACCAGGACACTGGCATCTAAATCACACAATTCCTACTGAAGACTGGCTGTGTGGCACACCCACATACCCACACGCACACTCACCGCTCAGCCTTCTCCCCAGGGCCAGCCTGTGAGCACAGTTCCAACCTCAAAGGAGCTGATGGGCAAAGAAGCTCGGGAGCTCTCAGGGCCACTCATCTGCCACCCAGGAATATTTAGAAACAAAATTCTAACATTTAGCGAGGAAATATCTGCGAAATTCCACAAATGTGTCAAGCAACAGCAGCAGACCTTCCCTTCCTCTGCAACATCTAGACTGTCACTAAGAAAACTAACTGGCCGAGATATCAACAATAACTCCTTCCCGCCCTGAGGATGTGCTTCGGCGTGCCCCTGCACCCAGGCTGCTGGGCGAGTTAAGGGCAGGGAAGGGCATGTGCTGTGCTCAGATAGTGAGGGAAGGGAGGGCGTGGATCTCCACACACAGCACAGCCAGGCCTGCTTAGGAAGGGGGAGACTGTGCACCCCAGGGCAGAGGACAGCCAGCCGGCCTCAGGACCACTGCACCTTCTGTTCACTCGGTGAGGGCGGTCTTGCCGACGGGGTGGCTTTCCAGGCAAAGCCACCACCTTGGGTCACCACTGCTCTCCCCCGAGAAAGATGCTACTGAACACAACCTACTGTGCTGAGTGGTAACAGGCTAGGGATGACGAGCTAGATCCCCAAAGCAGGTGCTGAAGTCCTCGCCCACAGGACCTCCACGTGGGGCCAGCAGGGGTCCCCGTTAAGAGGGGTCACACTTGAGAAGGGAGAGCTCTGACCCACTATGTCTTATCCATCTGGGGAGAGGGAAGACTGGAGCAAGGCCTCCACAGCCACGGCCACAGATGGCCAAGGACCATGGCTGCCTGTGACTACAGGCAGAATCCCCACACCTGGTTTCAAATTCACACCTCAGCACTGAGAACAAGTTTCTCTCACTGGTGATGTTTTAAACTACCCAGTTTGTAGTCGCTGGTGGTGGCAAACTGAGGACACAAGTGCCCAGGAAGCCCTGGAGAGGACTGGCACCCTCCTGTCATCAGTGTGCTCTGACCCAGCATCCCCTTCACTCTCCCCTATGAAGTGTCCCTCCAGGAGCGGTGAGAGTTGACCTCTGGATACAAACATAAAATCATACTCCTGTATCTAGTAAAAATTTTCAGGAGGTTAATGTAACTAACTGTTCCATTTTCAATTCATTTTTGCTTCTCTCTGCAACTGGCACATTACCTGGCAGAGATGTGGCACTGAAGCTATTTGTTGGATGGATTTACTCTCACCTCTTGCAAATCAGAATCAATATGGCTCTACACTCATCTGGCTCTTAGGCAAACTACTTAAGCCCATGTAGTCGGAGAGCAGCTGCTTGGACCGAGAACTGTAGCTTAGGAGCAGTTAATCTGTCGATACATAATTTGTGGACATGCACTGGTTAAATTAATTGGTTTAGACAGGGGCTTGCTATGTAGCCAAGCGGGCCTCAGACACCCATTTAGGCAAACTAATTTTAAGACCTTTCCAAGTAGTTATCTGTGGTGTCTTCTTTTTTTCTTCTTCAGGAAAAAGCACTAACTGCTAATAAAACTTCCTAGAGGGATCGAACATTCGTTGTTAGTGTGTGTACCACAGAGAGCCATTTTAATGGTTCAAATTAAACTTCATCTACAAAAATACGCAGAAAAAGATATGTATAGAAACATAGCTATGAACAAGTATTCAACTATCAAAACCTACTCAGGACACATTTCTGAAGAAAAAAAATGTCTTAAGTTAAAAATAAACTTACATGTGGTAGCTTTTAATACTGAAAGCTGTTGACTACTGAATACCAGGATGAAGGGCAGGCCTGGCTCAGAGAACACAAAGTAGCAAAACTCAGAGCCCCTGCATAGTGCTAGCTTCCCCCACCTTCTCCTAGAGTGATTTTCACAACTCCCTCTGTCAGGTGGCAAGAGAGACATTAACATTCCATTTTATATCACAGAAAGTCAGAGTAGTGAAAGGTTTACAAATTATTTGCCCAAGATTAGACAAGTCCCTGGTAGAAATTTCCAGAAACCCTTTTGATTGGTCAGTCTGTTCATTTAAAACAGAGGACAGAGAACTAGGTAAGTCACTCCTAGTACCAAAGTTCTATCATGAAACCAACTTTCATGTTCTTATTACCCAAGGGTTGAGATAGGAAATAACAGAAAACTCCTTTATTCTCTGCCAATGGCAAAAGAGAAGATGGTATTACCTGCTGGCATCCTTCTTAATATGAAGCTGTTTTGTAGGGCTGGGAAGGTGGCCCAGTGGTAGAGCGCTTGCCTTGTATGCATGAGGCCCTGGGTTCGATTCCTCAGCATTACATAGGCAGAAAAAGCCGGAAGAGGGGCTGAGGCTAAAGTGGTAGAGCGTTAAGTCTACAGCTGACGAGCTGAGGGACAACACCCAGGCCCAGAGTTCAGGCCCCACGACTGGACCCCCCCCCAAAAAAAAGGAAGCTGTTTTGTGTTCTGGGACATGCAGCATTTCTTCTATTACTTGAGGGAGAGAAAGCTGAAGGTAGGGGAAATATAAAGTATAATTCTCACAATTCTGAGAATGCACTGTCTTCCTCAACCAGGGGACCTTGCCATACACACAGAACAGGGACAATTCATAAAATTTCATAGCTTTTTCTGCCCCTAATCACAGTGCCAAGGCCAAGTGCAGAGGTCAAGGAAGGAAGAGAATTCATCACATGCACGACACCTTGGAGCAGTACGTCTCAGACCCCAGGTCAGAGGCTAGAAAAACAAACCCATAAACACCCAGCACAAGTTAGTAACTAGCCCAGATAGCCTTCAACATGTGATCCTCCTGTCTCAACCTCCCAAGTGCTGGGATTGCAGTCATGTATCACCAAGCCTGGCTAGGACTTGTGTTTTTAAGGGCAAAAGGGTCATAATGACTCCTGCACTCTTACACATTCTGCAAACATCCACAATGTCACCATCTCTGCCTCATTTACATAAAACTGAGCAAAACTGGATCCACTTTTACCATTACTCAGCCTTAGGAAGAATGACACGCTGTCTCCTGCAGCAATGTGGGTAGAATGGGTCACTACACCAGGCACAGAGACAAATGGCATGTGCTCACAAGCACAGGGGAGTGGACAAAAGAGTGATGAGGACGGATGAAGGGGCAGAAGGGCTCCGTCTGACAGGAGAGAAACCTCTCAGAGCATGGTGAGGTATCTATCAGTGACAACCATAATTGTACAGTTCTAAACACCCATGACACAAGATGCTGAGGTTCCCAAAACAAAGGGCGAACCTCCAGAGTGAGGACATCTCTGATGATTACATAGCGAACGCATATAAAGTCACACAGCACCCCAAAGTAAGCTCAGTGACTAGGTGTCAATCACCAATGGAAATACATTTTGAAATATATTTGTCAGTGCTGGGTTCTGTACCATGGATGAGTGCTGAGCCCCTGCCCAGGGTTTTTTACTAGATGAACACTCAGGATGCTGCTGAAGACTGACCCACCCAACCCCAGCTCCCCAGCCCCCAACACCTAGCACCCAGTTCCCCAGCCCCCAGTGCCCCAGCCCCCAGCATCCAGCTTCCCAGCACCCAGCTCCCCAGCCCCCAACACCCAGCATCCAGCTCCCCAGCACCCAGTGCCCCAGCCCCCAGCACCCAGCATCCAGCTTCCCAGCACCCAGCTCCCCAGCCCCCAACACCCAGCATCCAGCTCCCCAGCACCCAGC